TGTGATCTGCCTGCCTCGGCCTCCCAAAGTGCTGGGATTACAGGCATGAGCCACCGCGCCAGCCATCTTGTAGCTAACTTGTTAGTCCAGCAAAGGCAGACTGGTCCCCAGGCAAGAAGGGGGTCTTTTCAGGAAAGGAATGTTACCAATTTTGTTTCAGAGTCAAACCATGAACTGAATTCCTTCTCAAAGTTAGTTTGGCCTACACCCAGGAATCAACAAGGACAACTTAAAGGTTAGAAGCAAGACAGAGTCAGTTAGGTCTGATTTCTTTCACTGTCATAATTTCCTCAGATATAATTTTGCAAAGGTGGTTCCAATAGTGTTAGTATTTGCCCCAAGATACTTTGTTTCTAGACGTTCTCGTTTCCACTGCTGCCACCTCCTGGTCAAGGGTGCCTGCTACACCGAGAAGAACATAGGTAGTCTTTCTTTGGGTCCTAGATTTTTATGTCTTTTAACAATTTGTCACTAATCTTTTGTTTCCTGAGTTCTTTGCCAAGGCTTGCCTAACCACCTCACCTTACTTCACAATATTTGTTTATATTCATTGGCCTGAAAGAATATTTAAAACTAGGGAGGAATGTCTAATACGAGGGACGACATAAGAAATAAGTCAGAAACTCACAAGCCTCAAATAATAATGACAGGCATGAAAAACATTTGTTAATATGAGATCATGGTCCACCAATATTACGAGGTCAAACATTCAACTTCACTAAACATTTTGTTTCCAGTAATGTTTTCAAAGCTTTTCCCAATATGATACGTTCCTTAGTCCTTTCCTGCTATTATAACAAAATGCCTTATGAACGACCTAGTCCAAGCAACAGAAATGTATTTCAAACAGTCCTGGAGACTGGGAAGCCCATCATCAGGGCAGAAGCAGACTCGGCGTCTGGTACAGGTCTGTTCCTCACGGCACCCTCTTTCTATATCTTTGAATGGCAGAAGGACAGAAGGAGCAAGCACATTCCACCATTCTCTCCTTTGTAAGGACACTAGTGTCATTCACGAGGGTGGAGTCCTCATGGCTTAATCACTTCCGAAAGACCCACCTCTCAATGCTATTGCAGTGGGGCCTAAATTTAAGCTTACGAATTTTGTGGGAGAGGGAGGACTCCAGCATTCAGGCCATAGCAATGTGTTGTTTCATGAAGAGGGCCATTATCAATGCTAATTAACTATTAATTCCTCATCCTAATTATGTCAACTGGCCTCCTAGAGATATTGAAAAGTAAATTCTAGGTCTGGTTAATTTTCCATTGACCACGTGGTCCCCTAAGCCATATTTAAAATAGGTGAGGAAATAATGATACTCAATCTTATTTCTGACTTTGAAAGCAGGGGCAAGAGAAGAAAATAAGACAAGCAATGCTGTTTGTCCTTTAGAAATATTACTGCATCTAAACTTTGAATTAAGATTCTGTATATACTATCTTTCTTAAAGATTTTTAAAATTATACCATTAAACTGCCCTGAATGCTCTTGCATAACAGATGCACCCACTTAAACAAAACTTATTTCCTCTTTGTTTTGTCTAGATTTTTGTCTCATACTTGGAAAACTTCAAAATATAAAAAAGGACATGGCTTCTTTGCAATGTTGTCCCTCAGCAACAGTGCATGCAGTGGGTAAAGAGGGAACCTTTGGGTTAGACTCCTGGCTTCATCACTCACTGTGTCATCTTGGGAAAGTTGCTTAAACTCTCTGAGCCTCAGAGCTCATTCGTAAAACTGGGAGAATAAAACTTGTACGACTGGAGAATTCAGGAATAGTGTATGTTAAGGACCTTGTGCCGGGAAGTGTACTTGTAATAAAAGGTAGATGTAAAGAAGTACATGTTTTGATGTATAAAAGTTGGCCCTAGGCTGGGCACGGTGGCTCACACCTGTAACCCCAGCACTTTGGGAGGCCAAAGTGGGAGGATCACTTGAGGCCAGGAGTTCAAGACCAGCCTGGCCAACATGGTGAAATCCTGTCTCTATTAAAAATACAAAAATTAGCTGGGCATGGTGGCAAGTGCCTACAATCACAACTACTTGGGAGGCTGATGTAGGAGAATCGCTTGAACCTGGGAGGCTGAGGTTGCAGTGAACTGAGATTGTGCCACTGTACTCCAGCCTGGGTGACACAGTGAGACTCTGTCTCAAAAAAAAGTTAGCCCGTTTACTCATGCAATAATAGATATGAACGCAAATCACTCTTAAAAATATTTTCTATTTAAACAGCTCATAAATTTTGTCTTTAAGTCTTAGTTATTATACTTGTAAAATGGGATATAAGAGATGCCAATAATTAGAGTTGTTTTTATTTTTTATTAAAATTTTATTTAAACTTTTGTCAAATTACATAAAACAATGCATTATTCTTTAATAATTTAATAATCTGGATTTTGAATCATCTGCTTCTTGGTCCTTTGTACCTTATAAAATTAAAATATTTCCCTTGAAATGAGAATCCCAAATATACTAGAAACCTGGCAGCCTGGCACTCTGGGCGTGATTTCTGAAGACGTCCGTGCTGACAAGTAACATAGAATCTTTTTTTTCAGTGGTTGAACACTTGCAAAAAGTAGCAAAATTGCTTGTTTTTTTTTTTGAGACGGAGTTTCGCTCTTGTTACCCAGGCTGGAGTGCAATGGCGCGATCTCGGCTCACCGCAACCTCCGCCTCCTGGGTTCAGGCAATTCTCCTGCCTCAGCCTCCCAAGGAGCTGGGACTATAGGCACGCGCCACCATGCCCAGCTAATTTTTTGTATTTTTAGTAGAGACGGGGGTTTAGTAGAGACGGGGGTTTCACCATGTTGACCAGGATGGTCTTGATCTCTTGACCTTGTGATCCACCCGCCTCGGCCTCCCAAAGTGCTGGGATTACAGGCGTGAGCAACTGCGCCCGGCCGCAAAATTGCTTGTTAAACCTGCAAGTTACCACTGGGCCCTGGCCTCAGAGATTTTGGAGCACACACTGCAACCCACTGGGGTTCAGAGAGTTAACCTTTCTATTTGCTTGTAGCTGACTGGTATGTCTAGCAGGGTTGGAGACCAGTTAACCAAGCACGTCAGTGATTCCGATGCAAGTATTCTAAGAACCAGCCTTTGAGAAACATGCCCTAGTGCAGTGGCCTCTAAAGTGAAGTGTGTATGGCTTACGGGATTTAGAAGAATATTCTGGAAGTTCTATTTATACATTTATCTAAAGCAAATTCACCTCTGTTCACATTTAATATCCTGGAAGCTTTGTTACGTGTGTATGTCTGATGTTACATGTCACAGACTTTATGAGGGGTGCTCCAGAAGAGAAGAGTGGGGGCTCACAGGGGAGCGGCCTCTGGCATCCTCCCTGTTTTGATTTAAGCGTGACATTTTTTTGTGCCTTGGTAAATGGATTTTTGGATTACGTAATCCAAAAAATATTTTTTTGCAAATGGACAAGTGAATTAGAAAACTCTAAATTCCCTGCAGTGAAGATGAATAAAGACAGCAATTCAAGCACAAGTAACCAACAGAAAATGGCAAAATTAATGCTTCTAGCATGAGATCTCAGGCCCAACCTAACAGGTAAGACTATGTCATCAGAACTGACAAGAAGACTATTCCCCAAATTAGAAGTGATCACAAATATAGTTAATGATGAAGCTTGTCCTCTCTGGGCAAGTATCTTTGGGCCTTTGAGAGATTAATGATAGAATAAAGCCATCAAAGTGGCAAGATATTTTTTAATGAAATGTTTATACATTTTTTAAGAGATTTTTTTTTCTTGTAGATTTAAGGGAAAGATTTTTAAAAGATTGTTTTATTTTATTATAACCTTTTAAAATCCACAAATCCCACACCTCTAGCCACTCCAGAGATTTTCCTGCGCCCTGAGTTGACTGCTAGTTCTTTATTCTCATCTATTTAAAAAAATCTGTGTAGAAAAGAAAATTATTCTGCAAAGAAAGCAGGCGTTTAGCCTCAATAATAAATAGATCATTTTGGGGAGGTTAATGCTTCACAGCTAAAATCGTATGCTTTACAAATGACTAAAAAAAAAAATTTCTCCAAGCTGAGTTTTATGTTTTGTATTATAAATTAAAGGCTGACCCTTTTCCTTCTCTTTTTTTCTTGGTTACTTTTTGCCTCTAATTACTGTACAGGGAATACTTTCACCATATGACTTATGAAACTGCAAACTTTTCATTGAATTTTTATCACCAGAGCATGAATAATGTATTCAGTCCTGAAATGTCACAGGAAACATCAAACGGTTTTACATAAGGCATTTTTGCTGAAGTGTAAGAAGCCAGCAACCTGGGAAGCAGCAGAGAAGACACAAGTTTGGAAAGAAAACTTGATACAAATTTGTCATTTTTCCAGGAGGGATAAAATAAGTAGCAGAAGAGTAAATGAGAGGAAAGACTGAGAAATAAAAGGTTTTTTCTAAAACCATAAATAGAAAGAGAAGCAAAGCTAGTACAGTTGCCACTGGGGACAAGTGAAAGAAAACTAGAAAGTAGCCAGAAACAGATGGTGGGGCAAGGGGGTGTAGGGAGAAGGTGGAGGCTGGAAACCTCATAATCACAGGAATTGAGTTTGAAAGTGCAGTAAAACAGTATCACAGTTACTGTTGGAACTACAGTAAAAATGTAATAATTTTCAAGGACTGTTTGGGGCCATTTTCAATATTTTTCTGATCAAAGACTCTGGAAGTAGAATACAGTAGCTGTAAGAATTCTACTTTTGGATGCTTTCTTAGTGGATGAGGGTGCTCATTACTCTGCCGCCCAGGCTGGAGTGCAGTGGTGCAATCATAGCTCACTGTAACCTCGAACCCTGGGCTCAAGTGATCCTCCCATGTTAGCCTCTCCAGTAGCTAGGACTATAGGTGCATGTCATCATACCTGGCTAATTTAAGAGTGGCCATTCTTCAGGAGGCTGAGGCAGGAGAATTGCCTGAACCCAGGAGGCGGAGGTTGTGGTGAGCCGAGGTCGCGCCATTGCACTCCAGCCTGGGTAACAAGAGCGAAACTCCGTCTCAAAAACAAAACAAACAAACAAAAAAGAGTGGCCATTCTTTTTTTTTTTTTTTTTTTTTTTTTTTTAGTTTTCAATTAGCAATAATTGTGCCTCAGATAAACCTCATTGGCTACGATACTGGAGAGTGGCCATCCTTTTAGCATCCTTTTCTCTTAGGTTTTGAGGGAGCTCATAATATGACCATCAGACCAAAAGTTAAGTGCTCCATCCCTTATGGAACACAGTGTTAGTTGTCCACCCAATGAATGTCTTCCCTTTTTCTTGCTAATAGAAATCTATTCCCCTATTCCCTGCCCATAGTCTGTCAAGGTCTCTTGATCAGGGAGGACACGCTTCATCCAAGCCCCGCAGAGTGAATCATGATTTGCCTTATAGCAGTCACGGCAATTCTATTTCCCTTAGCTACTGGTTGATAGGGGGTAAGCGTGCATAGTAGTTTTCTGTTGCTGCTTAACAAATCACCACAAATTTAGCAGTTGACAACAATGCAAATGTATTATTTCACAGTTCTGTAGGTCCTAAGTTTGGGCTGATTCAGCTGACTTCTCTGCTCTGAGCTTCATAAAGACAATATCAAAATGCCATCTGCCTAGGCTCTTAGCAAGATACCCCTGCCTGGTGGTTGCAGGATGAGGTCCCCACTTCTTGTTGGTTATCAGACGGGACAGCCCCTAGCTCAGTAGAGGCCTCTCTCCATGTCCTTGCACATAGATGCTTACATCTCAGAGCCTGCTGGTGTTGGAATCCACGCTTGGAACTATTCTGAGTTCTCTAGCTGGAATAGCTAGAGTAAATGCTTTGCCTTTAAGGAATTGTGTGATTAGATTGGGCCCTTGGCAAACGTAGGATAATCTGTTTTAAAGTCTGCAAACCTGACTACATCTGTATATTCATAAATTCCAGGGATTAGAGAGTGAATGTTCATGGGGACAATTATCCTGCCTACCATAGTGTGGAACCCATGTGTGCTCAGCAAAGGAAGAGACGTTCATTGGGAGCTGTATGTCCTGGATGAAAAGACTGAGAAACTGCTCCCCCACCCCCCCAAATTAGAGATGTCAGTATGAGGACAAGATGTTTGGAGCTGTGGCAGCTACTTTGTAACAAGCAGATATCGGGAATGAGAATAACAAGTCAATACATCCGGAGCAAGAAGGGAAGGCACCTGCGTTCTTTGTAACATTTTTGAGCTGCAGAAACACTACCAGCCATTGCCTTGTCTGGCCGGCTTGTCATGTGAGGAAAGGTACCTATTTGTTTAAGCAATCAGACCAGTTTTCTGTGACTGGCAACTAAAAGGAATTCTAAATGACAATGATACAGAAGGGGGACAGGGAAATGCTGGGAGGAGAAGGGTGGGTTCCCGGCAAGGGCTCCATCCCTGGCCTGTGTCCACCGACCTAGGTGAGGACAGGCACTCCTGCCTTTGTGTCCAAATGTTGCATTTCCCAAGACCACCCTGGCCTGCCATCTCCCATCCTGTGTGTATACAAACCCTGAGACCCTAGCAGACAGACACACAAGCCGCTGGATATCGAGGGGAACACGCTGGTGGAAGAGCATAGCAACACACACGGGCGGGTCGGTAGGCCTTCAACCAGCAGAACAAGGTGGAGTTTGGCCATGTGGTCAGAGGAGAGTCCAAGCCACTGAGCAGTGGGACTCCAGGTAAAAACCATCTCCCACTGGATCCTCCATCTGCTGAGAGCTACTTCCACTCTATAAAACCTTGTATTCATTCTCCAAGTCCACGTGTGATCTAATTCTGCTGGTACACCAAAGCAAGAAAGCCTAGGATACAGAAAGCTGTCTGTCCTTGTGATGAGGAAGGGGGTCTCACTGAGCTAACACAAGCCACCTAATGGCCAACTAAACTGTAAGAGCATGCTGTAACACACACCCACTGGGGCTTCAGGAGCTGTAAACATTCACCCTTAGACCCTGCCATGGGGATCACAGCCCCATAGCCTGCCCTTGTGCATGCTCCCCTAGAGGTTGGAGCAGCAGGGCAGTGAAGAAGAAAGTCACTCCCCATTGCACGCCCTGCGAGGGGACACGAGAACTTCTCCTATTTCAACATGTTACTCCGAGCCTTCATTTCCAGAACTTTATTTTTCAATCCTTAAAATGCAGTGTTGGTTAAGCTAATTAAATTCACTTATATTTCATTTATAGTCTTATAATTCATCTTAAATGTCTTCATTGGTGGGCTAATTTTGCCTTTACTTTGAGATGGCGCTCTCCATTACACAGTTCAGGGAGGGTCCAGAGGGTCGACAACTACAGCCCCTTGGCCAAATCCTGCCAGCACAAGCAGGGGGAGGTGAGAAAGGTTTTTACGTTTTTAAAGGATTGTTAAAAAATAAAAACAGGCTGGATACCCTGTAATCCCAGCACTTTGGAAGGCCAAGGTGGGTGGATCACTTGAGGTGGAGTTCAAGACCAGTCTGGCCAACGTGGTGAAACCCTGTCCCTACTAAAAATATAAAAAATTAGTTAGATGTGGTGGCACGTGCCTGTAATCCCATCTACTCAGGAGGCTGAGGCAGGAGAATTGCTTGAATTCAAGAGGCAGAGGTTGCAGTGAGCTAAGATCGTGCCACTGCACTCCAGCCTGGGCGACAGAGTGAGACTCCGAATCAAAAAAATTAAAATTAAAATAAATAAAGAATATTTGGCGAAAAAGTGAAAAATATTTATTATCTGGTCCTTTATAGTAAAATCTTGCTGATCCTAGTACTAGTCCCAGAGGACTCACTTCTCATGAAGTTGAGACTAAGGTTTTAGTAAGGAAACAGGTCAGCATTTCATACCTTTGAAAAATTATTATAGATCACCAAGTAAAGTGTTTGGCACAGGTGAAGATGAATTATATCTTCAAATGAAAATCCCTTTTCATCTCAACATTTATTAAATTTCTAGTATTACAAGACTATGGAAGATATTGTGGTTACATAATAAATAAAACAAGGTCTCAGAGTACCTGAAAATCTTATGGGGAAGCATCTTCTCTAGGAGAAATGGTCTATGTAATATTCCAAGAAAAGATAAGGATCTGTATACAATGGATTGCACACAGAATTTTGTATGTATTCATCTTTCTCTAGAGATACTGAGACTGGGATAGACAGCAGGCAGTGGGAAATGTGGGCTTTAACTCAGGAGCAGAAGTGAAATGAATAATCACTTAACAGTTAATATCTATGTTTTATTAATTATCATGTCAATCTCAACAAATAAATGTTTTATAGTTTTGGTTTCAGGTCATACTCCATCAATACCCCCATATTCTTTTCACTAAACCAAAGTGGTTTTTAAAGGGAAGTGTTAACCAAATTTAGCCTAAAGCTGCCTCCTTACATATGTAAGTTCAGCCTAATGGTTTTTCTGTACATCGGGAATTTTAACAAGTAGAGGAGTATACTGACCATAGTCCACACCTGTGCCAATCACTGAGTTTTGGCCAATCAAATGTAGCCAATTGTTTGAACCGTGTTCAAATAAGGCAAATGCTAACCTGTAACCAATAACAGCTGTTTCTGTATTTCACTTCTGATTTCTGTATGTCATTTCCCCCTTTTTTTGTCTATAAATCTTCTTCCACCACATGGATATGCTGGAGTCTCTGAATCCACTGTGATTCTGGGGCTGCTGATTTGCGAATTGTTCATTGCTTAAACTCCCTTAAATTTAATTTGGCTAACGTTTTTCTTTTAACAGAAGCCAGGGTTGAAGATAAAGATTAGGGAATGATTCGTAAATCTCTTTGTAACTCTGGGGAGGGCAGACAGGAAGAGACTAGAATAAGAGAAAAGAGTCGAACTCAAAATCTGAGGGATTGCCTATGGTTAATTATGGACAGAGGGAGAGAAGCTAGTGGAAAATTCTGAAAGTAAGTGTTCAGAATGTATAAAGAGAATTGAAAGAGAAGCGTAGAAAAAAAGTTTTAAAAGCTTCAGTACCTTAAAGCAGGACAAATACTGAGATGAAGTAATTGAATTTGACCAGTAAGAGATAAGAGGATGTTTTAACTGTTGTCCAGTTTGGCAGGCCCCAGTCACTTATGGCTCCTGAAGTTTAATTGAAACTAAAATTTAAACCTTCAAAATTCAGTTCCTTAGCTGTACTAACCACATTTGAAATACTCAAAAGCCACATGTTGCTAGTGTCTACTGTGTTGGACAGCTCAGACCATAAAATAGTTCCATCATTGCAGAAAGCTCTATGGGGATGTGTGATTGAAAGCATCCAGTAGTGCAGATGCAGAATTGCAATGGGAGTATCCTCTTACACCAAAGTAGTTTGCAGTGTCTGGTTGATTTGACCTCTCCAGCTTGCATTTGCCTCCTCATTTTTCTATTAAGCTTTGGTCTCACCCTTTCTTTCCTAGACTCTTGCAATGCTTGCCTATTTGCCTCTTAACTTCTGTTCTTTCATCTTTGTAACCTATTCTCCACACAAATCATTCCTCCACTCAACAACGCCCTATTTTCACTGCCACTTTTCCTGGCCAGCCAGCTATTTTATTGATAGTCCACTGTGGTGCCCTGCAGATAGGGGGCGCTGTATCAACAACACGGAAAGGTGATTGTCGGAAATAGATGTTGGAAATAGATGCTAGGTGCCGCAAAGAAAAATTAGCACCAAGACAAGGGATCTTTCAGTAACACATTTTTTACTTCCTGGACTGCAGGAAGAGTGCTGTCACTAGCCATCTTGCCACGAGAAAGCGATTCCTCTCCCCTACACCTTTCCTTCCCCGCACTCACACAGCTTATAAACCAATGCAGGTAGAATGATTGTAATATATTTATATACCAAGTAACAGGGCAGGAACAACTGCTAATCATCACCCTCTCCTGTGTCTTTCACTTCGGATCTGTTACCAACCTCTGTTTTCTTTCCCTCTGCCACTACCAGGTTCGTTAATATCGTTTCTTCTCACTTCAAAAGTCATCTCCTAGTGTCTCCTCCCACTTACCACAAGCAGCCCTGGTCTTATCCCTTCATTTTTCTAATCTTGCTCCCCGCCAACTCCCAGTCTGTAGGCCTACAGAATTCTGCCTTCTTCCTTCGACACTCTCCCACACGTCTTTCTATTACCCTGCGGTGCCCACCATTCCCCTGGCA